TGTGTGTGTGTGTGTGTTCACTACTCACTGCTGTGTGTGCACTTGGATGGGTTAAATAAAGAGCACAAATTCCGAGTATGGGACATCATACTTGGCTACACGTCACCTCACGTCACTTTTCACTTTATATTATTTTATCCTGCTTAATTTGTTTTATAATTGTTATTCACACCTTTTTTTTTATCAACTTTTCCAAGGCATTAACAAAAAGCTTCATACAAATGCAAAATTGTAAATTTCCCCCCACCCACTTCCACCACAATAAATTAAAACATATATAAAAATGTATAATAATAAAAAGAAATACAAAATACAAAAAAAAAAAAACATTTTGTGCCTAAATGAACAAATCAATTCACCTTTATGACCTTATTTTGACTGAGAAATGGAATATGAAATGGAATATTTGTATGTTTTTAAAATCCTTTGTTACATCAGGACTATTTATGTAAAATGTAAAAAAGCTCAAATGTGATTAAAAATGATATATATACATACAAACATACATATATAAACTCAGAAATGTGACCAATAACAGCACCAAAAATATACTTTCCCTTATAAGTTCATAGAAATTTTAACCTAAAACACTGATGTTGAACAAGCATCATGACATCATAAAAATGTTATTTGAATGTCAGTGTCCTTATAGGTAAACATGCCACAGTCAATTATTGTTGGACACATTACTGGACATCATTTTTTTGAGCAGCGACAAGATTTAAATCCAGCAGATTTGGCTAACTGGTGCCAGTAGAGATTAGCATTGCCTCATTGTTACTGGTGGACAGTTAAGGATTAAACAATGATGAAATACCACAAAACTTTAGGGAAGAATCCCCTAGCAGATGTTCCCTACAGCCTATGTACTGTACAAAAGAAATATGATTCATTTTCATATGAAGAGACACATCAAAAATTTTAGATACAGATACAGTAGATGTTAGCATTCCTTCATATTTTGTATTGTGTGTAGTCAAAACTAAGTAATGTCCTTATGGATCAATGATCATAATAAAAACAGGTGTTAACCCATGAAATCAATATTACTTACTGACACGTAGAAGCCACTTGTAGCCAAGTCACCAAATAAAAAAATCAATCAATAGTTAGCCATTGTCATTTTTGGAGGTGTGATGCTAACCGAATTCTTGAAGTCATCAATTTTAAGGGAAACCCACAAAAGAGAAGAGATGAGAGCAAGAGAGAGATAGATGGAGAGTTATGACTCAACCCCAATCCTTTTGTTTGTTTCTCTCCACACTTGTTGTAGATGGAGCTAATACTGAGTGTGACTGATTGATCCACCCCTAGATGGACAGTAAAGATTAAGAGGATGACAAATAGGCACTTGCTTACACAGCGCTTGCTGCTAATCCCTTTGTCTTCCTTTAGGGAGCCCACGGTAGCCTTAGAGTCACTCACTGTCCGGCACCAGGAGGAGGTGACAGACCTCACTGCACTTTACAAAAGCAACAGACAAGAAGTTCTAAAGGACAGAGATACCCAGAGTCAAGAGTGGACCATCAGGATAGAGACTGAAGGACCTTGAAGAAACATCTAACATTGGTGCAATTCTCAGGGCTGGGCGGATCTCTTTGAGGACCCTCTAGGATTCCAGTCAACATACCTGGGACAGATATTTTAGCCTTAAAAAGCCTAATCCTTCTAAGTGTACACTTTTACACTACATTAAATGGAGGATCCAATGTCAGAAATGTCCATACACTATTGTACCTTCTTAACACCTAAAGGGTGCATTTTAGTACCTTAGCTTTTGTACCTTTTTTTAGAGTGTTCAAAATTGGGAGCAGAGAAGCTTGAAGGTAGAATCTTCCATAACCTTCCTTATTGAAATTTACAGATGTCAAGCTGGTACAGGCATGTGTCCAGTTTCTAAGTGTACACTTTTACACTACATTAAATGGAGGATCCAATGTCAGAAATGTCCATGATACCTTTTGCATCACCAACAGAGTCTTCCAGGAGCAACTCTATGGATGACAGCCAAGAGGGTGAGTAACTGCTTCTTCAGTTTAGCTTGTAGTGGACATGCAACAAAGAGTAAAGACTCTTGCAATCAAGGACCTTTCAATTTTTTTGGTATTCTTGAATTTCCATTTGAATATCTTACAGAAAGCCCTAAAATACAATATTCTCAAGCAAGGTTTACCTCAGCAAGTATGAAATGGCAGTTGGCATGCCAAGTAAATGCTGTCTTGTGATTATCAACTCCTAATGATTGGATTGGGAATAAGCAATTGTGACCTGGAATAACAAAGATTTGTTTCCTATGCTTTCCCAGGTAAAAGCCCTGCTCCTGGCAAGGTCCTGAATTTGGGAATTCTCTGTAAAGTGTGTTCTGACACTAGCAGCGGGAAACACTACGGGATATATGCTTGCAATGGTTGCAGTGGCTTTTTCAAGCGAAGTGTGAGGCGCAGACTCATCTACAGGTGAGAAAACACCTTGCATATTCACTCTCAGAATAAAAGGTACAAAAGCTCACTGGGACAGTACCCATTTAAAAGGTACACTATTGTACCTTCTTAACACCTAAAGGGTGCATTTTAGTACCTTATCTTTTGTACCTTTTTTTTAGAGTGTTCAAAATTGGGAGCAGAGAAGCTTGAAGGTAGAATCTTCCATAACCTTCCTTATTGAAATTTACAGATGTCAAGCTGGTACAGGCATGTGTCCAGTGGATAAAGCCCATCGGAATCAGTGCCAGGCCTGTCGTTTAAAGAAATGCCTTCAAGCTGGCATGAACAAGGATGGTGAGTCAACTTCTTAAAGGGATTCCTCACTTTCTTCCTCGTAGTCTTCATTTTCTAAACCTTTCCGTCCATCTCCTCTCAGCTGTTCAGAATGAGCGTCAGCCCCGCAGCACTTCTCAAGTCAGGTTAGATGCTCTGGATGTGGGCAATGACAAGGAACACCTCATCACCACCCTGGAGCCCACCTCCTCGTCCACCTGCACTGTGATCAACCGCCCACTTCTGGGCTCCAACATCAGCTCCAGCATCAGCTCCACAGATACTAGCCAGCATTCCAACAGCCCCAAGAATGGACATCGCTTCATGGCCAGCCTGATGACAGCTGAGACCTGCGCTAAGCTGGAACCAGAGGACGGTAAGGAATGAGACCACCTTGTTCAACTTAGAAAAGTTTTGTTGGTGAACACCATGCCTATGTTCCCGAAATCTTGGAGATCTGATGGTAACAAGGTACTTCTAATGTTTACCTAAAGCTCCCTTTGAATTTGATTTTGTTGTAGATCTTTTTATGATGTTATGGTGCCTTGGAAAGCAGCCTGAAACCTCTTTACACTCTCAGAAAAAAATGTGCAAAAATTGCAATTTTAGTGGTACAACAGCTTGATACTGAGGTGGTACCTCTTCAAAAGGTACACATTTGTACCTTATTTATCCCTAAAGGGTGCATATTGGGGGCAGTCGTGGCCTAATGGAAAGAGAGTCGGACTTGTAACCCGAAGGTTGTGGGTTTGAGTCTCAGGTCCGGCAGGGATTGTCGGTGGGGGAAGTGAATTACCAGCGCTCTCAATACCACGACTGAGGTGAGACCCTTGAGCAAGGCACTGAACCCCCGACTGCTCCCCGGGCGCCGCAGCATAAATGGCTGCCCACTGCTCCGGGTGT